GGCCATAGTAGTATTGAAACCACCACCTCTTATATTCATAATTCTTATGAGGAAATTTACAAAGATTATAGTAAATTGTGAATGAAAGATAATGAAAAACTTTTAATAAATTAAAAAATTAAATTAATAAAATGGATAAAAATTGCTTAATTGGCATTGGCATATTGGCAGGCGTAATTGTTATAATAGTTCTTGCGTTTTTAGATTACAAAGGAAAAATGACTAGAAAAAGTATAACATTAGAGAAAAACGACCAAGACCACCAACAGAAACATTTAATTAATGTGAGTAGAATAAAAGAATTAGAAAAGAAAAACGGACACGAACAGAAACAGATTGACGAACAAAGGCAAGAAATTAATAACCTCAAAGACCAAGTTATAAAACTACAAGAGAAAATTATAAGAGATGGCAAAAGTTAAAGATTTAAGCGATAAAGTTGAGACGGGCCAAGAAAAGATACTTGATGACCTAAATAATTTAACCTTCCCCGAGGGATATGCCCCAGTATATAAAAAGTTTTCTGATTTACTTGATGAGGATTACCTAACCAAGATTATCATAACTAGTAGAGGGACAGGGAAATCTCATAATGTTAAAGTAAAAATACTTGAATGGATTACTAGAACCGACAGGGAATTAATATGATTAAGGCGTAATTTTGACAACATAAGAAAGAGTTCATTGGAACCATGGCGGAAAATCTTAAATAAATATTGTTTTGAGTATACCCAAGAAAAAATATCTATTAGAGATTTTGAGGAAGTTTGGGAAGCGATAACCCGAGGCATTAAATATAAAGGCATTATGCGTTTACATTTTATAGAACTATATAAAAGTGAGGATGCCCGCGAGTTGCTTGATAAAAATGTTGATATTTTTATGGATGAGGCCATACCCAACCCCAAAGGCAAAGATAAGACCAATTTAAAATATTTAGATGATGAGGATATTTTGTATGAGGAATTATATGGGAGTGCGTGAAGGGAACGCGTAAACTTAAAAAAGAAACTGCCCCGTAAGATTTTTGTTGCTAACCCCTACGACCGATTTGGACCATTTATGAGACCTTTTAATAAATACTTGTCTGAAAACTTAAAAGAAATCAAGGAGAAATTATGGCGAGATAAAGTTGTAAGGATTGAAGTTGAGGAGGAAAACCTACGGGGAGAGATAGAAAAGAGTTTATTATATCTTTATGCGACCGAACATAAAAGAGAGTTATTTGAGAAAGAATGGGGAAACTTCTTTTTAAGTGAGGAGGCGTTGAATATGATAAAAGTGCCAGACAATTACGAAATACTTTATAAACTTCAAGGATTTTTAAAGTGTAGAGTGTTAAGGACAGGCAAAACTTTTTTTATCAGTGAGGCCAATGGTAAAATACCCGTGCCAAGATGGACGGAGGAGATTTGTTTGACGAATGAGGATTATAATATCTCCAACATGAGAAATAAAAGACTATTAAACAGGCAAGAAATCCGCGAATTAGTAAGAGAATATTTGGAGGATATAAATAACAAGTTTTTAAAGTTTGCCGATTTTGAGAGTAGACAACATATTTATCACAATATTTTATACAAGATTAAGTTAAATCAGACCTTATAAATTATTATGTAATTGATTTTTGAATACAATAATTAATCAAAAACTTATTATTATGGATATTTGTAAAGAGTGTAATAAGCAATTAGACAACGAGCAAGAGTATTATAACCTTAATATTGGCGATGAAACCGAAAGAAAATGAAACAAGAATAAGTTTAATTTGTGCGTTGATTGTTGAAAACAGAAAAAGGAAAGTTATAAATCATTAGTAGGCAAGTGAAATAAGTATAAATGAGAGGAAAAGAAAATAAAAGTGTGGAAGATGAAAAAAAACCAAGCGGGAGGAAGTATGGAGGAAATTGGTAATTGTCAGACTTGTAAAAAATGAGACGACGAATACGAAGTAAAGAATAGATACGAAAATTATTGTTCTCTTGACTGCGAAAAGAATAAAGATAAAGGAAATAGTGATGACCCAGAGAGAGAGAGAGAGAGAGAGAGAGAGAGAAATTACTCTATTGAAACAACGCATTAAGGAGTTAGAGAATATGAGTAGTAGAACCGCCGAACAAGAGCAAGAATTAAAAGATAAAAGGGCAGAATTGGCAAAACTTCGCCTGAATGTATGAGGGCTAATATGTTTCTCTATGCCTGCCTTTTTAGTCTTTTTATAAATCATGGT